CGCATGGTTTGCGAAGATTCAGGAGGCTCGCAGGAAGGATGTCGAGCGGGCATTTGGTGTGCTTCAATCTCGATTTGCTTTTGTCTGGTACCCCGCTCAGACCTGGTCGAAAGATCAAATGTGGGAGATCATGAGTTGCTGTGTCATCTTGCACCACATGATCATTGAGAGCGAGCAGGAAGAGCCAGTGTTTGATACTGAACCATATTACAAGCAGGGTCCTCTTGCTCAAGTTGATCACCAGCTACCGGCAAACTGGACTGACTACCTCACTATGCGTCAGGAGATCCGAGACCCACAGGTGCATCAAGAACTGCAACACGATCTGGTGGAGCACCTATGAAGGCTCAAGGGCGAGGCCGGGAATGACGTGTGATGAAACTTGAGTTTTTATTGGTTAAACTATATAATTTGTAGTGAACTATTTGTTGAACTATTTGATTTATGTGATAAAACACGTCGAAACACGCCGAACTATGTGACGAACTAATTGGTTTCTATTTGTATACGAAAATTCACGCTGAAACACGCCGAATCGCGCTAAATATGTGTCGATTCACGCAGATATCAGGCCGTTTTGAACATATTTGGGCCGAAAGCTGGGCTAAATACGGCGCCTGGGGGCGACCTAGGAGGCGACGCTGGGTGCCGAACCGCCCCCGGCGCCAAGTTTATCACCGGCGCACCCCATGCCGCTCTTTTTCGTCGCCCCGGGAGCCGAATGGCTGGAGATGTTCTTACGCGTCTCCCCAATCCCCACTCTTAATCGAAGCCAAGGAACCAATGGGTGCGCTCGTCGCCCCCACCCTGCGCCGCCGCAGTCCAGCAACCCCCCACCCCATATGCCCCCGCCATGGCAGCCCTCAACCTACGCCGCCGGCACGATAGTGGCCGCATCCCCCTGCCGCTCCTCCTCACCGGCCGGATTTCACGCATCCCCTGATTCCGATCCCCTTTCTTTCGTTTCAGATGAAGAGAAGACCATTGGAGATACTTCCACAGCTGCCCCTCCTATCTCCCTCGATGATGAATTTTCGAAGGCCACCGCCATGGGTAAGCGTACCGTGATCTGTCGCACAACGCTTAGAAAGATCCAATTTTTATGAGCTGCGTGTGGAGTTTTGTTGAGGGGGGCAGTTTTTTTTTTGTCGCGAAGATGCGATTTTGCTGCCAATCGATCGTACGGATTATGTACTATTCTCATATAAATACGATGAATCTATTGGAGGCAAAAATGTTGATGGAATCCTCCACGGCCATCAGTTAAACTCGGCTGTGATGTAAAGTTTTGTTTTGCTCTTTCAATGGCTCGGTCAATCCCAACGATAGTAGAAATCGGTTTGCCAATTTGAATTGTATTCTTGTTCCTTCGGTACATATACTGTAGGGGAAAAAGGGAAGGGGCCTTGTCCGAGTGGGCAACGTACACGGGCTATACATCTGCTTACATCTTTTTCGGTGAATTTTTCACAATGACAGGACCTTATGCAAGTGCAGGCTGGTCGGACCTCCCCATAGATATCCTCATCCGGATACTGCATCTCCTTGAGCTCCCCGAGGCCCTCGCCTTCCATGCTGTCTGCCCATCATGGCGTTCTGCATCTGTGGCCGCAGGCGGTGCCCCACCTCGCCGCACGCCGTGGCTTGTGTCCTTGGCGAAGGAGCCTCTTCCGGCAGGGGATCAACAGAGGCCTGTGCGTCGTGGATTATGGGATCCTACTGCCACTTCTGAGCTCCGCAATCTTGTGGATGCTGAGAAAACTTTCCAGGTCAGCTTTCCCTGGGGCCAGGCCGTGGCCTGCTGCGGCGCCTCCCATGGCTGGTTAATCATGGCAAACGAGCTCTCGGATCTCGTCCTCTATAACCCCTTCACCACGGCGTCGCTCTCGCTCCCGCCAGTCACCGGTTTTGCATCGTGCATCGAGGGGGTTTACGGAGATGAAGGGAACGTCGTGGGCTATCGTTACAGTTGTTTTGAGAGTGACAGTGTGTATGATCTGCGGTCTCTTGGTGGGTTTTTCTATGACAAGGTTGTGTTGTCCGGTTCTCCATCTGCTGGTCCCGCAATTGCTTTGTCCATGCACATGGACGGTAAGCGACTCTCTTTTGCGAGGGTGGGAGATAGTTCTTGGCGACAAGTTTCAGTGATAAGGAGAAGCCTGGATAGCTATGCCGATTGCGTCTACCACCGCGGCAGGTTCTACGTGGTGACAATGGAAGGTAAATTGAATTCTTGGGGCCTCAGTGGACCGGAGGACAGACCGCCAAAGAAAACGATCATGGCCGAGGGAGATGATTACTTTTTTGAACTTATCACGAGATACCTAGTTTCAACTCCCTGGGGACATCTTCTGCAGATTCGTGTCGTCCTCGACAAGTATCAGGAGCACTACGTCAGGGTTGATGTAGAGAGGTTGGATCTCAAGAGCAGCCAAATGGTAGGAGTAAGCCCTGCGAAGGCTCTAAGAGGACACGCGGTGTTCCTTGGTCAGAATAGCCAGGGTATATTGTCCGTCGATAAATTCCCCGAGGTAAGGCCAGATTGTATCTACTTCACGACTCCCCGTCTCAGGAGGGACGCTTTCGAGCATCGCCATAACCAATGGAGCGGTGTGAAGGTCTATGATTTGAGAAGTCGGAAGCTGGAGGATGCTTTTCTGTCGGGTGGTGGTCATTATGGAACAATCTGTCCATCGGAGGTCTGGTTCACGCCGAGCCTGTAATCACTTAGCAACCATGTCGGAAGATGTTTCATGCTGCACGCATAACTGGTGCTTTGCTTTGATTGTTTCCTTCTAAATTCTTTTTGCAGTTGTTTGTTTCAAGAACGTGTTGCATAATGTGGAAAGTGTGATTCGTGTGTATATAGATTAATGAGTTCTGTGTATATAGTAGTAGCTGGTATGTTGGCGATCACAAGTTTGTATGATGTCCTGTCCCAGCACAAGGTTCAATGCTGAATATTTGGTTAGGTTTAGATGTGCACCGAGCTAAATATCACTGCCTATGAATAAGAGTCTGATCTTAAGAGAAAAGTTCAATGCTGAAGATTTGGTTTTTCATAAAGATGCATTTTCTCTGTTGGTTTCATTCTGTGCGATGCTTAGCCCTCTGATTCTACCCAAGAAAGAAATAATGGATTTTTTCCTGGTCAACTTCATCTTGTGAACTTGCTTTGTTTATTATCTACGCCCCAGGCTGTAAAGTTATTTCAATCTTTCATCACAGCTTTGAAGTGAAAGAAACAATTGATTTGCTAATTCTCATCAGGATTGGAATTAGCAAAGTCTCATCTAAGTGGATGTGTTTAACATGTTAGCCCTGAATTGATTCACCAACATACACGGTATTGATGTAATACAAAACACAAATGCATCATTCTATTACATCACAAAGATCCAGAATAACATACTCCCTCCATTCCAAAATAAATGTCGTGGTTTTAGTTCAAATTTAAATTAAAACCATGTATACCATGCTCTCAGAGGATTAAAAAATATATGTGCTGCAATCATGCCATTTTCGAGCATCAACACTTACTTTCTACAAAGATACCAACATAACTACATAATTAGTGATCGATTTTATGTTATATTTGCAGCTGGTCTCAGCTGTTGGACACTCTTCTTTTTCCCAAAGTAAGTTCAAGGTAAATTTCAACTCCGCCTATGTCTTCTAGGCATAGCCGGTCCCAAGCCCGGGTAAAGAAGTAGGGTTGTGATAGGCTTGTCGAGCCAACGTAAAAACTAGCCAGTCCCTCCTCATGAAAGGGTTTCATATCTAAGGGTTGTGATAGGCTTGGCGAGCCAACGTAAAAACTAACCAGTCCTTTGGGTATGAAACCATTTGGGTGAGAGTAGTACTAGGATGGTGACCTCCTGAGAAGTCCTCGTGAAAGGGTTTCATATTTAGCCTACCCCAACTTGTTTGGGACAAAAAGCTTAGTAAGTAAGTAAGTTCAAGGTAAATTTCAAAGTTAGTGGTCATTTTTTAACTTTAATTTAAACTGGTGTGCACACACTGTCTTGAGAGAACAAAATTGGTGTGCACACACTGTCTTAAGAGAACAAATCAGTTTTCTGTATCATTATTTCTTTGAGCATTGTATAAAGTTTTACAAGTTCAATATTTTAAAAATTGTGCTATATATATGATCTCTAGTGTATGGAAGATAACCTCCAAAATTTTACATGCTTCTTCCAAGGTCCTATAAATCTCACAGGATGAGTTGATTCATCATATTAATAACCATATTAAGCTATCATCTAAATGTACTCGGTGTCCAGCAAACTACAAATAGTACAAGCTCTTGGTCTCTAGCATTTACACAAGGGGCACACAACTCACTAATCTTTTTTTGAGCCTGAGCTACACAGAACTCACATTTTACACGCCATGCGCTGCTTTTCTCTGAAACAATCAAACACATACACTATATAATAAAACCAACACCACGAGCGAAGGAACGGTGTAGGTCTGCTGCTGGCAACCTTCTTCCAAGCTAACACATGAAAACAGCCAAAAGAGAGACAAGAGAATTATCGAGGAGACAGGCGATTCACTTTCTGAAAGGGAACTTCCATCAACTGGAGGCAGATTTCCACCCTGAAAATGATTTAACAAAAGTGAGGCCTCACAGAAAAATCATTAGGCCTGATGCTACTTAATTATGGACCAAAATGGCACTTACAAGTTACAGCATGGCTGGCTAGATCAGACTACACCCGGCGTGAACCAGACTTCTAAAGGGCAGATGGTTCCGTAATGACCTCCACCGGTCGGGAAAGCGGCCTCGAGCGTCCGTCTTTTCAGGTCATAGACCTTCACGCCGCTCCATTGGTTATGGCGATTCTCGAAAGGGCGGCGCTCTCTGAGGCGTGGAGTTGTGAAATAGATACAATCCGGTTTTAGTTTGGGGAATTCTTTGGTGGATAAAATGCCTGGGCTATTCTGTCCGACAAAGGCCGCATGTCCCCGCAGAGCCTTCCCTGAGCTCAGTGCTACCTTGTCTGACTCTTGAGGTCCAACCTGTCTATTTCAATCCTGACGTTGTTTCGCTGGAGCGTGTCAAGAAAGACACGCACCTGCAGGAGATGACCCCAAGGTGTCGAAAGCAAATACCTAGTGATAACTGGGTCGTCGAACATGTCTTCATCATCCTCGGCGATGACCGTCTTCTTCCTCGGTTTGTCTGGTCCACCAAAGTCCCATGACTTCAATATCCCTTCCATTGTCACCGCATAGAACCTTCCGCGGTGGTAGATGCAATCTGCAAAGCTATCCCCACTTATTCGGATCACCGAAACTTGTTGCCAATGGTTGTCTCCTATTCTTGCAAAAGAGAGCCGCTTGCCGTCCAGGTGGATGACCACAGCGACGGCGCGACAAGTGGACGGAGGACCGGACAGCACAACCTTGTCGTAGAAATACCCGCCGGGAGACTGCACATCATAAACACGTCCTATCGTGTAACACCCGTAACGATAGCCCACGATCTTCCCTTCGTCTCCGTAGACCCCCTCGATGCACGACGCAAAAACGGTGATTGGTGGGAGCGGGATCAACGTCGCCGTGAAGGGGTCGTAGAGGACGAGATCCGAGAGCTCGTTCGCCATGATTAACCAGCCATGGGAGGCGCCGCAGCAGGCCACAGCCTGTCCCCTGGGTAAGCTGACCTGAAAAGTTCTATCAGGATCCAGGAGGCTGCGGAGCTCAGTCTTAGCAGCAGGATCACATAACTCACGACGCACACGCGGATGCTGATCCCCTGCCGGAAGAGTCTCGTTCGCCAAGGACACGAGCCACGGCGTCTGGCGATATGGGACACCGCCTGCGGCCGCTGATGCAGAACGCCAAGACGAGCAGACAGCACGGAAGGTGAGGGCCTCGGGGAGCTCAAGGAGATGCAGTATCCAGATGAGGAGATCCATGGGGAGGTCTGACCAGCCTGAACTTGCATAAGGTCCTGCCATTGTGAAAAAAACACGTTATATTCTTTTAGGAAGAAAGAATATGTAAGCAGATTGTATATAGCGAAGCAAACAAGCCCGTGTACGTTGGCACGTTGCCCACTCGGGTAAGGCCCCTTCCCTATTCCCCTTGGAACTAATAAGTATACAATTCAAATTGGCAAACCGATTTGTACTACCGTTCGGATTGACTGAGCCACTGAAAAGAGCAAAATAAAAACTTTAGAGCACAGCGCCATAGAATTCGCAATTACATTCATGCTAGTTAACTGACGGCCTAGATAATGAGCGAAGCAAAATCCATTCGAGTTCAGAAGGAGGGTCCCATCAACATTTTTGGTAGAAACAGAGGCCTCAAGCTCAACACCCAGGTTCCGTTGAACAGAACCAAACCAACAGATTCATCTTGATGAGAATATTAATCCGTGCGATCTTTCTAATCGTTGAGCCACAGATTGCGGTAGGCTTACTTACCCACAAGGTTTTGGTTACCGGTCAAAATTTCAAGATTTCCCATGGTTACCGCGTATTTCCGTGCCCCTCAGTAAATCCTCATACCGAGCAAAAAATATCATTTTTTTGAAATTTTTGAATTTAAACGCTCGATTTGTAGTAAAGTGCGTAGGATCTAATTAATGCCATGAGAGTTGATTATGACGTGTTCGTAGCAACCTAGTTCCTGTTTTGACAGGTCTCTGGTTCGAATGTTCGTTCATTCATTTATTTGAATTCAAAATTCAACTGTAAAATTTGTTCGAAATATTCTCGGTATTTCTCGGCAACCGTGGTAACCACGTTTTATCAGTACCCCTGGGTAAAATTGCCTCATTTGGTAACCAAAACCTTGCTTACCCATAGCAGTGGCCTTCAGGAATTCATCATCGAGGCACTACTAGGGAAAAGCCTAGCAGCAGTGCGGGTTTTGGCCCTCTCAGTAGCGCGGGTACCGGCGCTACTAATAAGGCGCTACAGCTAACGTATAGCAGTAGCGCCTGTTGACCCACGCTACTGCTACACATGAATAGCTGCAGCGCTCTTTAGAAAAGGGCGCTACTGATATTATCTGCAGCGCTGTTTACAGGGAAGCGCTACTGGTAAGTCGGCGCTACTGCTAAATTCCCCCCCCCTCGCTACTACTAGTTTTATTAGTTTTTTTCCCTGCATATTTGTTTTTTATTTGTTCTGCATTTGAATAGGCTTTATACAATAATCTTTAGCATATCATCCACATACAAATGTAATCATAGCATATACATACAATTAGTCTCATCAAATCATGTCATCATCATAATCATCATCCAACACAAAGTGGTCTCTCGTCATCAATCTCGAAAAGAGCGATACAAGTCTCGATTACTTGCAAATACATCGTCATCCATCTAAACAATGATATACGCGAGAATAGCTATCACTTTGAGTACATGAGTTCATATCCCTCTCTCGCATTAGCGTGAACCTAAACTAAGTACTGCGTGTCGCTCGGAAACCGAAAACCGGTACACCTGGGCCTGACACTCCGGCCACTTGTCGTATATATACTCCTGGCGTAGCACTTCTTCGCCATCTATGATGTATGCACCTGCATCGTCACATGAGTCGATGATATGCAACATATATAGTTGAGCAACAGAAAGAGACAGACTTGGCAAAAATAGAAACAACATATCATAAGCATAAATAACAAAGTTCATCGTACCCAAAATGACCTAACTAGAGTGATTTTCGCTAGTCGAGGAGGAGGACGGTTTAATTACATCACAAATAAAGTTTCACCGTGCATAACTCAAAGTTTTGTCATAAAAGAAAGTATGGACTAAACGGACACATTGTCATATATCGACAATCACTCCATCATGTCGTGCCATCCATCCATGTCAGGGAGATAGTCATCGAGCTTAGTGAAAGGCTTCATGTCGAGACTGAGAGGCTATGCATGTTCGGATGTCTTCCCGCGACATTTGTCCTTCTGCATGGAACATCCCTGTTTTTCCGACGACCTCATTCATGATGATTTGGGCAAGTTCGTGCTGGATGTTATAGAACTCAGCTCGAAGTCGATGATCCTCGATATCTCCTATGTCCTTTGCCCATTGCAGAATATGGGCATCGCCAGATCTAGGTGCCATGTGAAGGTTCTGGTGATCCCGTCGGTACTCCAGCATGTGGTGTAGGACATAGAATCCATCATTAAGAGAATCGTTTGGTTGTTGGATGCAGCAGAAGTCGGTCTTATGGCTGAAGGCGGCCCTGCCGCCCCTTCTCTTCTTGTCCCTAACCTCTCCACCCCTTGCTTGGTAGTAAAACATAGCACTGTCGAGAACATCTTTGATGTGGGTGTAATCCTTTTTGTGAATGTTCTTCGACGAGTCCAAGTAAAGAGCGTGGGAGAATCAGGGGTAGAGGATGATGAGGATGGCGCGCCCGCCACTGTGCAAAATAAGTACACCTCAAATTAATTAGCCTCCACCGTGCAAATGAATTATTGAAATCGAAGGAAGGATAGCAGCATGGATGACTTACACGGGATGATAAGGCACGAGAATCGCCTCCTTGTCCTTATTGGCGAGCATGAAACTGACGATGTAATCCCTTGCGTATTCACGATGCTATGCACAGACTCCCAAGAAGCCCTCGTGCATGTAGTACGGGTTAGCGACACAGATAAAACGCATCTTCTCAACCCCAATGATGTAGTTCATGTGCAAGGCATAAAGGCGGACAAACGTAAAATCCAGCTTCTTCACGTGAAACATGTCGAATATGTAATCGAATCGGAGGAAGAACTTATCCGCGGGGAAGCCGTCGACATACGACATTTGCGGCGGAATGTTTACCACGTAGAGTGGGTATCCTGGATCTTTCGAGGCGATGAGGCCTTTCTCTACCCGCAGCACATCGTCATGAAGTCTCCTTAGATCGCCGAATCTGGCCCGTAGCGCTGTTTCAGGTAGGATTGGTCGACCGGGGATATGCCATTTATCCGCATCGGGGATATCTACACGGTCCTGAAGCCGAGGCTGCTGAGGCGGCTGGATCATAGAATCAGCTTTTTTGCCTTTCCTCGCTCTCTTCCTAGGCTTCTTTACCACCGGATGGTCGTCAATAACACGTTGAGACGGTAATTCAGGCACCGACTCATGATGCTCAAACCCTGAGGAGGCGCCAGTATAGACATACTGTTCAGCGCCATCGTCATCCTCATCCTCATCCATGGCGACGTCATCAGCGACTAATGGAGCCACCTGCTTACCCCGTCCGCTATCACCCAACCCGACACCCGACGCTAATTGGGTAGGTGGGGTGTTGATGTTCATACCTTGCTGAGGCTGCGTGCTCGTGGGTGTGCTCCCGGCCGCCTCCAGACGAAGCAGACTCTTTGGCCACAACAGGACCCACCCATTGCAACAATCACCAAGGCGCCGTGGGGTCTCGTCGTCATCCCCCACTAGTATTAGAGGAGGCAAATTCTCGTGGCCCGGTTTGACACTGGCCACGGAAACCTTGAAGACATTTCGGGGGATCGACCGGCTGTGGAACAATGGTTCCTTCGGCTCCATTATCGTCCCCTTCCCCACGTCCACCTTCTGTTCGCCGATGGTGTACAATATGGTGCACGGGGTTTCGTTGGCCTGCAAAGAAAAGTCTGCGACGTGAGACATCCGAAAGGCAATGAAAACGGGAGATTATACATTTATATTGAAGGGGGCCGGTGTGGCAGATACCGTGAGGGCGTCGAGCTCAGCCAAAGAGGAGGCACCATCGAGCACGCCCGGTGCGGCAGCCGGTGCGGGAGCCGGTGCGGGAGCAGGTGCGGGAGCAGGTGCGGGAGCATGTGCTACCAAGAAGTTAGCAAGGGGAAAGTCCTATGCATTTTTTTGGATTTTGCCTTGTCCAAGTGTGAACGCCCGTCACCAAGGAAGTAGATATATCTGCAATCGCCTGTTTTGCGGCAGCTAGCGCTGTTGCGACTGTCTGAGATGATTTCTTCTCAACCGCAATCTCAACCTTCTTGTCGATGCTTTCTTCAGTTAACCTCCGTCTTTCCTTTTTCTCCTCCGTGGTCTCACGGTAGTACTTCTTCCACGTGGCACCGTCTCCGACACCGTGCACGCGTCCATACGACGGTCGAGTATCCACCGGTTGTTGTTTCAATATGTTCAACGCCCGGTTGAATGGAGTGTCCCACTTGGGCCTCGCCAATGCCTCAGACGGCGAGTCGCTTTCGGCCACAATCCGGTGCTGCTCTCTCTGCAAAAGGCACAAGGATCGTTTACAAATATGACAAAGGTGTGCAGTCGAATTGATCAGAAACTAAAATTACCAGCAGTCTCATGAACTCCGTAATGACCGGTGTTGTCTCATAAACCTTCTTCAGTGGGTCCCAACGGTGGCGGGCCCTCAGGACGTCACGCTCCTGCGGGACGGTGAAATCCACTAAGGGGTCTGGGATGCCCAGACTCGCGGCTTCCACGTCCTCCTTGGCCCATTTGGACCTCTTTCCACCGTAACCACGGCTTCCGAGGTGGTGGGTCCCAATGTTCCTCTTTTGAAGCCCCTTCATGTACTTAGACTTTTCTTTGGCAGCTTCGGCCTCGCAAGCCTCCTTGAATATTTGAAACTTCTCTTCCGTGATTGTCGGACTTTCCTTTACAATCTCGGAGTAGGGTTCCCCGTCGTTGATCTTTGCTTTCACTCGATTCTTCTAGGCGGCCAACGCGTTGCTAAACTTGGTCATGGCGTGTTTGTTTATCTTCTTCATTGCTGGGTCCTTGTCTGGATCTTCATAATCCTTCTCATTCCGGCCCGGGAACAAGAATATCTGGTGAAACTTCTTTAGGAGGGAGCTCCTCATATTTTCTATCTTCTTTAGATTCTCATCGTTGATGGTGGCGGTTGTCCGTATGATGCAGCCTATTTGATTGCCGTAGCACGCGCGCGCTTCCTCGGGTGCCTTTGGCTCAAAATTGCCGTTGTCCACCTCCGTGACCACCAGTCTAGTAGTC